GTGATGTGAATAATGCTCTTTGCGGGCCTAGCTGCGAATAAACACTTCGTTTGGAAGACTGCTCATGTTAATTATCGGAGTGTGGCCCCAACCGTGAGTGTATGCTCGTTCGTGGGCTTAGTTGAGAGTGCACGTTCCTCCACACACTAAGATGGGAGTATACGCTATCTCGGGAGCTCAATTGGGAATGTACTCTGCCTAAACGCTCGGTTCGTGGTTGATCGAGTGGCTGCTTGTTGGGACGTTATTGGAGAGGTTCTTCGTCTGCCTTTGTCCTTATTCGGGACACCTCGTTTGGAACACGTTGCATCTTGGTGCGCTGTAAAAACTGGTTCACCAAGGTCGTCTGCTGTGCTAGGGCGCTCGTCAACTCTATGACTTGTCGAGACAAGTGTTGTTCGCCATTTGGATTGGAAGAGCTTGGAATGAATGTTTCTCCTTGAGCAGTGGAAGTGTGGTAGACTCCGGGCATGAGATTTGAGCTGAGAAATGTCAAATCCGTTAAAAAATATAGTGAAAATGCTCCCGGTTTGATCATCGGTCCGGAAATTTGGAGCTGGGACGGTTGAATTGGCATTGGATCGATTTGGGCTGCTTGGAAGGCTATAGGAGCAGACAGTACCATGTGAGCATGTTGGGCCACAGGAGCAGGCTAGGCCACGAGAGCAAAGTGCTCAGCGGGATCAAGCTGGGCCACGAGAACAGGTTGCTCAGTGGGAGCAGGCTGGGCCATGAGAGCAGGTTGCTCGGTGGGAGTAGACTGGGCCACAAGAGCAGGGAGCAGGCTAGGCCACGAGAGCAGGCTAGGCCACGAGAGTGGGTTGCTCGGCGTGTGGCACACGTGGGTGCGAGGCTAAGGCTCGGCTTGGCAATGCGTTGGGCTTGGAATGACATGGCTTGGGTCATGGCCTTGGTGCCATGAGCCTTGGATGGCATGGCTCGGGCCGTGGTAGTGGTGCCATGGATCTCGCCACGGGTGGCCACCGTTGTGGATCCCATGGTGGAACCTTGTGGTGGTGGTGCTGTTCCCCTTAGGATCACATTTAGTCTCGTGGACCGCCGCGGTCCCATTTCTTGAATATTGTAATTTTCACTCATGGTGTTTTCTAAATTTCTAGTCATTGTATTTCTCTTTTTCGTTTTATCAAAGAATCTTTGCAAATAAAAAATTCTAATAATAAGAACGTACGAAAAATACAAGTGGACTAGAAAATAGAGAAAAAACCTTTTATGTGAGAGTCTTCTACGAATGTGAATTTCAACTCTCAATGAAAGCACCAATTTGTGGATGCAAATTTCTTCCACCTTGACTTGGACAATATTGTACCTACAAAACAAATAATAGCTTAGGTCAAGGCCAAGAGCCTCATGTGCCCATGATGAATGGGGTGGAGGGCTTTGGTCGAAGAACCTCTGATGCCAAAGTTAGAATTTAGAGAGAAAAATGTTTGAGAGTTTTGGAGAATTTTAGCAAGAGTGTGGAACTAGGTTTTGGTGAAAATGGGAGCCAATATATAGGGCATGGCCGGTCCTCTTTGGAAGAAAGAGTGGCCGGCTCTTGGGTATTTTTTGGGGTGTAATGAGTGATTTAATTGGTGATTAATGGATTAATTAGGAATTAATCCATTAATTAGCCAATTAATCTCCACTTAAATGGAATGTTATGTAGGTTATAAAATAATTACCTAAGATGAGGATGGATGAGAATATCTTTGAATTGGTTACCTATTTTGGACACTTTTGACTTGATTGACGGATAATTGTCCACTGCTCGCGCGTAGGAATCCCGGTATGCCTCAAGGGTATTTTTGTCCTCTTATACCCAAAAATCCATGTGTCACCTTATGATTATTTTTGACTCCACAACACACATGCATACATATGTATAAATTAGTAAAATTACATGGAAAATTAACAAATATAAAATAAAAGATTTTAATATGATATTTTTCTTAAATACGGGTTCTCACAAACTCAAATTGCTTGTAATATGAAAGGCAATTTTAGAGCTTTATATATAAATGAGTCTATAATAAGGAGGAAAAGTCTATTATGACCCAACAACTTGGAAATTCGGAATACAAATACCGTTATGGAGTTGGATTTTAAAATTTGTGCGAATCTCATCAAATCTTTGATTTTCAATTATTTAGTAAATACCGAAGTATTCTGTAATTGAAATTCAATTTCGCAGTTTGATTTTGATTACCCTTACTTGAACATGTCGTTAGGACTAAATGTGATCAATAATTCTTGGTTGGAAATGACCTAATGCGCACGAAACTATATGTTTCTTTTTCCGTGCCTATTTTAGCTACTAGGCAAATATTGACTAATTTTCATGTATTTAATTGTTTGTGTTAAGAGCTTTATTAAGTTGCTCTCTCTCTCTCTCTCTCCCTCTCTCTCTCTCTCTTCAGTCTTTGGATTCTGTTTAGTTTTTGGTTTTTATCGTTCTGCAGAAACTTACGCACTCCCTTAATTTTCCAAAGCATACAAGTTTTGGAACCCTACAATACTTCATAAACCCTCCACTAGCTAGCGTTAAATTGTTGTCCAACACGATTGGTCTTCTCCAACATAATATATGGGATAATGGTTATTAACGGGACGGTGAGGAAGATGAACGGTGGAATGTGAAAGAAAAAGCATAAGTAAAAATATAACAGAAGACAAAGGTTAAAAAAGGAAAATAATTCTTATGAGTAATTGCAGGTTGCACGGGAACATTGAAACACGTCGTACGTGCGGCATGGTATTAGGGTTAAAAAAGGAAAATGATTTTTTCGAGTAATTGCAGCTTCCATGGGAAGTTTGAAAGACATGTAAAGAGAGTTGAATCTTCCATGGGAACCAGGAAAATAATTTTTACGAGTAATTGCAGCTCCCATGAGAAGTTTGAAAAGCATGTCGTGCCTCGCTTAGAGTATCTCCAAAAGAAATATTAAAATCTTAGGTAGAATGATAATGTGCGTATTTGACGGCTCCAGATCTGCTGTCACTTTTTGTGTGTCTCATTGCTAATATTTTGACACATGTCCTTTAACTTAACTTAATCTCAAACTTTGTTAACTTTTTATTTAACATCTATAGCGCGTTTACTAATCCGTAATCAAATTGAGAGGAATTGAATTGAGGAGGAATTGGATTGAGGAGGAATTGAAATGAGGTGGAATCAGAATCAGAATCAGAATCAGAATCAGATTCTTATTGAAGTTGTTTACTAAAATTGTCTGGAATCGGAATACAATTCCATAAAGCTGTTTACTAATTCAGCAGAATCGGAATATAAACCAGTATGTTTACTAAAATGCCTTTGTCTCAAATCAAATATTTTTTATATATATTTTTTAGTAAAATTTGATGTAGTATATAATAGTAAGAAAAAATTAAATAGCTTTTTTATTTCATAGACATACTAATGATTTTGTTTATTTTTTTTTTTTTTTATAAATTTAAGTATTGACTTTAAAAGGATAATCTTGGGTGAGAGAAGATAGAAATGAGCTGGTTGAAAGGAAAAATAAGCCTAGGGTTAAAAGGATAATCTTGGAAATAATGAAAGTAAGTGAGGGCATAAAGAGAAACAAAATTATCATTCCGATTGCTTGTGCAATCCGGAATCCAAATACCTTGTATATGTTGGGAATCCAAATCCTCCAATTTCAGGAATTGGATTCCATTTTTTGTGTGGGCCCCACACACTTTTGATTCCTCCTAATTTTAGTAAACACATGTATAATCCGTAATTGGAATCAGATTCTTTATTCTCATTCCGATTACGGATTAGTAAACGCGCTATTAAAAGTTAAAAAAAATCCAAAATAATCTAATTGTTGGGTTAACGAGGCCTGCAAATCCAAAATAGAATTCTTTCTATGGCTGTTGGGTTACCAACGTAAGCAAACTTCTTCCCAATTTTTCTCCATCGTTATACTGTTTCTTCACTTCTTTCCAAGCTAGCTAAGTTCAACCAGAGTTGGCTTGGAAAGAAGTGAAGAAGCAGTACAATGATGGAGAAAAATTGGGAAGAAGTTTGCTCACGTTGGTAACCTAACAGCCATAGAAAGAATTCTATTTTGGATTTACTGACCTTGATAACCAAACAGTTAGATTATTTTGGATTTTTTTTTATACTTTTAAATGTTAAATAAAAAGTTAACAAAGTTAGAAACTAAGTTGCACTAGAAGAAGTGTCAAAATATTAACAATGAGACTTAAAGGAGACACACAAAAGGGGACAGCAGACCTGGAGCCATATTTGACATAAAAAATCTCTCAAACTGAAGTGTTATTTGCTGACTGGATTTAAAGGCTTTGTGATTTGGAATCAAATTTGACATCAATGTCAAATTTATTTTTAATTCATTTTAATGGTGGGTCACCTATTCCACTAACATTTCAACTAATTAAAATTTTGTTTCAACATTTTTTTAATAATTACAACCATTTAAAACTCTATTTAAATAATAAAATAACATTTGACAATTTGGTTGGAGAAGTACAAAATTTGACATAGGGCTTCAGATTGCCATATCAGCCATCAATTCACTAATACATAAAACAGTTTTGGCGACAAAACATAAATCGTCACGTAAAGTAGAATTTCGCCGCGTTGCGCCAAATTGTTTGTGCGACGAAATTTGAGTTCGTTGCATAAAATGTATAGGGACAAAGTCTAATCGTTGTACATACCTATAGGCGCGACGAAATAGAACTTGTCGCATGAAGTTTAAAGGGATAAATGTATAGGGACAAAGTCTAATCGTTGTACATACCTATAGCCCAAGAAAGAGTGACGAAGGTGTCTTTCATCGCCTATAGTTTTATGGGACGAAGCTCTCCTTATCGTAAGATTGTACTCTGTTGTCGTGTTTGTTAATAGGGTGACGAATTATTTCGTTGCGCAAACCATTGTTAATTTTTTTTTAAAAACATATTTATAAACTAAATTTTAAGCAAAATAATTTTGTTTGGTTAAATTGAATTAGGAACAGTAATTGATAAAGAAGAATATTAATTAAAAATAAATATGAAAATGTACGTACAAGCTGGGAAATTTTTTAAAAGTAGGAATGTTTAATTAAAAAAAAACTACAATAAAAAGTTATCAGAGTCAGCTCCGGCAGTTAGCTGTACTGGGTTGGGGGCATAGGAAGTCGTAGGTGTAGTGGGAGGAGGTGTAGCGGCGGGGATGTCGAAGCTTCCCCTTGTAAGAGCGTGGTGATGATCTGGGCCATCCTAGACTCTTGGGTAGCTATATAAGCATGCTGGGTGGCGATATGGGCAGTCTGCTTCGCAATGTACTGATTTTGGGCCGCCACTTGCTGCTGGAGTTCCGCTACTTGCTTCATCAATGATGCGACCTGTCTCTAGGTGGAGGTGGAAGATGAGGTTCCCGTCTCACAATAGCGGGCATTTCCCATGCCCTGATACACCTTCCCCCACCTAAGACTAAGTTTTTGGTCGATGGTGTCTATCATGATACGAAGACCTGCATCCTTAAGGAAGGGGGGGGGGCAACTCCTTCATCGGGGTGTTAGAGGGAAGCTGGGAAGCCACTTCCTCGAGGACAACCTGACTCATCTCGACCATAGTAGCCTATAATTATAAAAGCAAGTTAATTAATATTTATATAACATTTACTTAAAATGAATAAAAATTATAAATTTAAAAATTACAAAAACTTACATGGAGCTTCTCTGTCAACTCATCGCCAGGCTGTATGTACACCTCCTTGAATGTGTTAATCTCAGGAAACTTCGACCCCATCAGCCTTAAAAATTAATAAAGGCACGAGTTATTAGTTGTGTAATTTAAAGTAAGAGTAATGATTTTTTTTTTTTTTAAATGTGGTTACCTGACGTCGTTCCTCCATCCTGTATAAGAAGCGTCGGGAGCCGGAGTGGTGGAGAAGCTTCTTCTTCAACCTATTTATTGTGTTGGCCTTGCCTCTTTTCTGTTAAAAAGAAATGAACCGTATTAGTGCCGATATTAATTATGAAGTATTCAAATAAATTAATAAATGGAATTAAAGTGTTAATAAAATATTATTAATCTAAATAATTTATATAATTCACTTACCAAGTATTTTTCATCTTGAAAATGGGTGTAGAGCCAGGCCCAATTTTCAGGGCGCTTCACCAACTCTAAGGGGCACCCATGTGCTAGAGTGACAGTCGGATCGTTGAATTTCTAGAAATACTTGTGGAGGTCACTCTTTCACTGAGTGAACCAGTCGGTGAAGAGTTCTTGGATGTATTTGATTTGATTGGCATCAAGGTCCTCGAACTCATAATGATGCTGCAAATAAGATATCCCATGTAATCTTTATATGCTCCTGGGTGGTGCATGTGAGTTGTGAGGTGCCCATGAGCTTGCTTGGGCCCCTAGTGTTTTTACGAGTTGCAAAAATGAAATAAGTTAGTGTTAAAACAAATTAAATAATCTACGAAAAACTTGACAAAACTTCCCCTAAAAATACAACATTTCCCAAAACCTACAAACAAATATACAACACCAATACCCAACAATTCACACATAAAGGAACCGAATAATAGTATATTAAATTTATTAAATTAGAAATTTTCACAAAAGATGTATTACCTGTATCGGCTTCCTTTCTGTTTGCAGTGGAATTCGATGCATACTCCTCTACCTTGTTGGTAATCCGGGCAGTCGATGAGTCCGCTAGGCGCTTAATAACGGATGAGTCACCAAAGAAGTAGATGACTCAAGCATTGTAGACATCGTGGCCTGGGGTGGATGTAAGACAACCTCCGACGTCGGGGCTAATGCTGGTAGAGCAGTGGCGACTGTAGGCATAGGTGGTGGAGGCGTTGGCAAGGACCTACCCATTGACCTACGCTGCTGTTTGGACCCAAAATTGCACCATCGGCCCGAGTAATCGAGGCCATTGAGTGAACGTACTTCCACACTATCGATGAATTCGTGAAGATAATTTTATTAATATTAAAAGATAACATTATGATTTTTATCATAATTATCTTTTAATAATGATTTATCTCGACATTTTCATGTGAAAATAATATATCTCCAAGCTAGGAAACAGGCGGCACAATTCAAGATAATTCAAGTTGATGTGGATGTTTGGCATATGGGTGTGTGGTTGGATCAGTTTTTGGTTAACAGATATGCACGGCATCAGATAATGAAGCATGCAGAACATGATGATATTATGAGGTCACTTGGAACTACTAATAGGATTGGATTCCGAACAGATTATTATCCATTTAAATATGGTGATAATTAAAAATGAATTTAATATTCATAGGGTCAGGATGCATGCGGAAGTTTTGGTAAAAGATGATGAGAGCCTAGGAAAGCTAGGTTTTTGGTGATGTGATAAGCCTAGGATTTGATGGTGATGTAGTTATGATAGGAAGCCTAGGTAGGCTAGGTCTTTGGTCATGATGGGATAAACCTAGATGGGTTTTCATTTGAAAAGTCAGCCACACGGATCATATTTCATTCTGCAAGTTAAAGTTGTAGTCGGACTCCATAATTATCTAGCCGTGTCAAGCAAAAATCAACATTATAAATACAGAGCTGCATCTTCAGTTTGAGGACCTCCAATTCAACACACAATTGCCTTGTGCAAAACCTCTCAAACATCTTGAGATTTTTTTTATTTTCTTTTTCCTGCCGATACAACTTCAGTTTGGATAAACAGCACTGTGAAGGCAACCGGCGAACATCTTCAGTTTGGATAAACAACACTGTTGCCGTAGAATCAGCCATTCCCGAAGCACCTTCAGTTTGGATAAACAGCACTGCGTCGAGGCCGACTGGTTATATATCCAAGTCTTGGTCAAGAAGGATTTTCAAATCCTTATTGGCAAAGGTCATCTTATTAGTCTTCTCGGCGAAGTGAGGTGTTACCAGGTTACTACATTTGACACCCTGAGAGCCGAATTTGGTATTGAACTTCGCAAAACTAGCAGCCTTGTCTTCAGGCTCGAGAATCCAAAGGCCGAGATTTGTTGCTTCCTCGGCTGCAGTCGCAAGATAAAGAAGTTAGCAACGCGCTCAACGTAACATCAACAAATTTTACTCCTTGGTCAAGCTCGACCGATGAGTTAGCACGCCTCGCATTCAACCGAAGGATGTAGTTAGCTTATTAGTTACTCGGCCTGCGCGCCACGTAGGCTTTGTAATTTTTAGGGTCAACAACTGCCTAATCAATTGCGACATCTACAAAATCTAATTGAACGACAAACATTTAAAACTATGTTATTAATACCAATTTATATAGTCAATACAAAGTCCTAAAATTTAAAAAGTAAAAATTGTACCCTATAATTATACAATTAACACAAAATTTATGAAATTGTAAAAGCAACCCTAAAATTAAAAAAGTAATAAAAAAAATTTAAAATTTATACCTGTAACCTAAATATTAATCCTAAATTTATAAAATTAATTAAAATTGTAAACCTAGGTTTACAAATTAACAAATTAAACTAATTTAACAATTTAATCCCAACATAAATGTGACATCCCACATCGCCCAGGGGACTGATCCTTATATGTATATTCCCATCCTTACCTAGCACGAGGCCTTTTGGGAGCTCACTGGCTTCGGGTTCCGTAGGAACTCCGAAGTTAAGCGAGTAGCGCGCGAGAACACTCCCAGGATGGGTGACCCATCGGGAAGTTCTCGTGTGAGTTCCCAAAAACAAAACCGTGAGGGCGTGGTTGAGGCCCAAAGCGGACAATATCGTGCTACGGTGGTGGAGCGGGCCCGGGAAGTGGTCCCGCCCGGGTCGGGATGTGACAATTTGGTATCAGAGCCTAACCCTGGCCGTGGTGTGCCGACGAGGACGTCGGGCCCTTAAGGGGGTGGATTGTGACATCCCACATCGCCCAGGGGAGTGATCCTTATATGTATATTCCCATCCTTACCTAGCACGAGGCCTTTTGGGAGCTCACTGGCTTCGGGTGTTGGAAATGTGCCCTAAAACCAATCATATGATGATACTTTATGGACATTTCACATGTTAAACTAATCTAGTTTAATATTAAGGGCAAACATTATTGTTTGAGCCGTCTCATATAAATGTTATATGCTTAAACGATAAGTCCAAGGAATATGTGATTGGAAGAATGCGATCTAAAGAAGTTAGATTCATGAGACCATTCTTTTGTTGACACATCCTAAACGTTCCTGATCATAGGATTGTCAATTGGGCATTGACAGTCCGTTAAGATCAGTACGTGCTATGTCTTCTCTCAGGGAGAGTGACTAGTCTCGAGTCATTGGTGTGTGTGACATCAAGACAAGTACGTAGGTGCTCAATAGAGAATGAGTTCACTGAACACGATCAACGAAGAGTTCTCATATTCATGTCACATGAGAACTCATGGTTGGGATAATGCAAATTAGTCTTTTGACCTGAGGCATCACAGTTGTCTTGTGGTTAGGTCCTTAATCTTTGATTATGTCAAAGTCACTCCATCATGAGGGTGTCCATGGCATCGTTGGGGTTAAGCCACTTAGCCATGGAGGCAAGTGAATGCGCAACAAGGGATCTCTAACCTTCAAACTGTTTGAGGGAGAATACTCTATGATATGATTAAGAATCTTTGGCCAAAGTATGAATGAGATTTAGGAATGTGTTCCAAATCACATTCAAGGTAATCATATAAGCACAAGACTCACATTGGATAGTAGACATGAATAAACTATCAAACCAAACAATGTGGTCAAGAGTATTGTATTAGAGAAAGACCGTATTGCATTTGAAATCCTAAAACTGAATAGGTTCTCCACCTCTTCTGATTAGCTTGGGTAACCATGACATGCTGCTAGGCGTCAACCATGGTTTGTGGAAGCCCTAAAAGTGTATTATCACTAACGGGAGAATTGAAAGTAAGTTTCAATTCACAATCGATTAGAAAGAGTTTTAATCGCCCACTGCCTCGCTAAAAGGAACCTAATGGATCGTTCACCGAGTAAGGTAGAGTTTGAAGAAACAACGGAGATGAGTAAGAATAATTAAATGGTTTAATTGTTTATCTAAGGCTAGGATTAATTAATATGTTAATTAATCAAACGAATAAGTTCGTTAAAGACCTCGAGTTAGTTTTGGGCCGCAAGGCCCAATGGGATTTGAATGTCAAGCCCATTAACTCAAGTTGTATGACAACTTGAATAAACAAAGGGCTTGAAAGCCCAATAAACCCTATAGGCTTGTCATGTTAGAAGAATAGGGCTTTTGGTCCATTAGGTCACTTATTTGAAGGGACTATATAAAGGACTTTATAGCCTAAAATTTACATATGGTAATTTTTGGGGAAAGGATGAGAACACAAGCTCTCCTTTCTCTCTAAAATTTAGGCCACCTTGGAGGGATCATCTAGCAATCAAACTCCTCCAAGGTCACTCATTTCCTCTTCATTATGCCTTGGTGATGAATAATTAGAGGTTCTCAATTTTGGGAACTTGGAGAAACCTTTTCATCCATCCAAATCCATGGATCTAAGATGCAAGGAATGAAGGCCCTCTCTTTGGGTGATTAGCCTTTGCTTATGCAAAGAGGAATCTACAAAGGTATTGATTTCTCAACTCACTTTGTTTTGAGTTGAGTCTTGGTTCACCTATCTACTAGGCTTTGAATTTCATGGGTAAATGTTTTGTTTTAAGTGCATACAAGCATGATTCCGCCTTTAATTGTTAATTGCATGCTATTGATGTTGCTTAAATGAACATGTTTTTCACAAATCTTCTTTCATCGGGTTCCGTAGGAACTCCGAAGTTAAGCGAGTAGAGCGCGAGAACACTCCCAGGATGGGTGACCCATTGGGAAGTTCTCGTGTGAGTTCCCAAAAACAAAACCATAAGGGCGTGGTCGAGGCCCAAAGCGGACAATATCGTGCTACGGTGGTGGAGCGGGCCCGGGAAGTGGTCCCGTCCGGGTCGGGATGTGACAATAAAATACTTCATCCAAATCCCCTTTTTTTTTTCTTTTTTTTTTTTTAAATTTTAACCCTATATTAATAATATTATACCTATAACTAAAATCTTAATCCTAAAATTAAAAAATTAAACTAAAATCTTAAACCTATGATTTTAAAGTTAACAAATGAACATCGTAAACTAATTTAACAAATTAATCGTACTAAGTAATACTTAATAAAAAAAACCCTAAACCCTAATGTTATACAATTGTAACAATATAAAATAATCCCTAACACTAATATGTTAATCCTAACATTAGAAAATAAACCCTAAACTTACAAAACTCAACAAAAAATTATCAAGTTAACAACTTAATCAATTTTACTAATTTAATATGTCAACATATTAGCAAATTGAATAAATCCAATTTAAATGAAATTTGCAAAAGATTAAGAAAATAAACAAACTAATTAAACCTTACCCAACCCCCACCCTACACCACCTCCACCCCTACCCAACCTCCACCCTGCACCAACTCCACCCTTACCCAACCCTCACCTCACGACACCTCCACCCCAACCCAACCCCCACTCCCCACCACCCATCTTCACGCCCACCCCGAGCCCTAATCCCCAAATCGCCAAATTCCTAAATTCCCTAATTCAAAAATCCCTAAATCCCCAAATTGACAAAATTCCTAAATCCCTAACCCCTAATGTCTAATACCCTAATACGTAATCAATCCAAAAATATCATACAACTAAAATAATTAACAAATAAAGGAAAAAAACAGAAATTTACCTAAGAGTTGAGAGAGAGAATTCGCTAGAGAGAAAGTTGCAAGAAGCGAGAGAGTTGCAGGGAGAGAGAGAGTTGTAGTGAGAGAGAAAGTTGTAGAGATAAAGAGTTCGAGTGAGAGAAGTTTTGAAACATGAGAGAAAGCAAAGCTCTTTGGAATTAATAATGCAAAGGACTTTGCGCGACGACCATATTCGTCACGCACTTTTAATGAAACTAAAAGAAAACCCGTCCAATTTTTGGTTAATTTTGAGAACGATGCGCAATGAAAAGAAACTAACTCGTCCTGCATAAGGACAAAGCGTGACGAATCTAGCACATTTCATCGCGCAATATTTAATGAATATTTTTTGAAAAAGGCGCCTACATTTTAATTTGGGAAATTTTGAAGGACCTTTAGTGATGAATTTAGCACCTTCGTTGTGCAATACTGCATTGCACGATGAATTATCCTCATTCGTCGCTCAATATTTAATGAACATTTAAAAAAAGGCACCCATATTTGACTTTGGGAAATTTTGAAGGCCTTGTGCGACAAAAATAACTGATTTCGTTGCACAAACGTCTATTATGAGACAAATGCGTACCATATGCCGCGTAACCCTGGAAACTCAATTTATTGCACTTGTTCACATTTAAATTTCATATTAAAATTTTTCTAGCTTGCCCTATGAATGTTCTTATTTTCGTCGTGCGTTTACGTTATGCGCGACGACTTTCTTTTGTTTGTTGCGTAAAATTAACTTTATTTTGTTTTAGTTTTAAATTCTTTATCCAATTACAAATTTAATAAAAATAAAAATTTGTTTATATACAAAAACTTAAATACATTGAATTACATTTCATATAAGTCAAAAGTCCTTAATCCTTATCCTCGGTACAATAAATATCACTATCTTCACTTTGATCACTTTTAGTCTATCATTCATCCTGATCCATTGGTACATCAAAAACATCATCTGTGCCCTTAGGTGGATTGTATATTGGGAGACTTTTGAAATCAATTGTAATTGAGTCTATAGGAATTTTGATTTGAGGACTTCCAGCTACCTGAAATGGTTCTTGGACAATATTAGTATCTCGAAGTGTTTCTGCACCAATTTGTGTCGAAGTTTCGAGGAGTTGGTCAGCAAAGTTGTCGTCATCGTCGTTGTCGTCAGGATCTCGATTCATAATATCATACACCCTTTTGTGATCAATCCTCTGAACAACTTTCCATCCCCTCCTGGCCTTTGGGCTATCGATGTAGAAAATTTGCTTGGCCATAGTTGCCAAAATGTATGGATCTTCACTGTACCAACATCGATTAGTGTTCACTGACAGTAAACCATCATCCCGTTTAATACTCTCATTCCTACTAGGGTCTGTATCGAACCAATAACACTTAAAAATGATGACTTGGCAACGGTCTTTGTAAAACAATTGGACCACACTTGTTAGTTTGCCATAGAAATCAATGTTTGCAATATCTCCTGCTCTTGTGACATGTACCCCATTTTTTTAGTACAAAGCTTGTCATCACGCTCAGCTCTCAAGAATTTTATGCCATTCACATGACACCATGAGTACAGTTCGATGCTTAGAGGTCCGATAGCCAAATTGTATAATTCCTCAGTATACGTAGGGGAATTGGTTTCCTTCATTATTTTCACCTAATTTAATCCAAAAATTTGACATGTTGGTTTTACCAAAAATTAAGACAACTAACATGCAATTTAGGAAAACAACCATCCAAAAAAACCCAAACAACTTACTTGCTCGTGAAACCAATGAGGAAACAAGTCACTGTGCTTCACGGCATATAAATGTGAAGGATATTTCAGCTTCATCAACTCTTCATACTCATCCAGGTACTCAATTATCTCGTCACAATTGTTAAGTATGAACCAATGAGCTACTTGCATGTCCCTTTTTGTGAACGAATCATCTCGTATTGGTTCGCCAAATGGTTGTATGATTTGGGCAAACACAGATAGTTTTTGCCTTCTCACACCACCGTTATTATTATGTTGTGGTCGATTGAAAGCTGTCTCAATGTCTTGTAAGTACATAGTGCAAAACCTATTCGTTTCAAACGCCACCCAAGCCTAGCTCCACAATTGATCATTCGGGCTTCGCCTTATTCCTTACACTATTCTTTAACTCACCCAGTAATCTGCAAAATAAAAATTTTTACGATTCAAATAAGTTAAATCATCAATTGTTCACGAAATAATAAATGACTAAGGACTTTATACCTTTCAATTAGATACATCCATCGATAGCCTCATATGACAAGTGAATCATCACGTGTACATGCTTATGAAGAAAGAAGGAAGAAAAATTTGTTTAAACTTGCAAAGGACTTCGAAAATGTTTGTGCGTAATTGTTGTATATCAGATTTTCGCAATGTCCTAGTAGATAATTGGGAAAAAAAACTCGCCAACAATAGAATCGGCTTCACCACATTTTCTGGCAAGAGGTGTCGAATACCAACTGGGAGCAAGTGTTGCAATATGACATGGCAATCGTGGCTCGTAAGCCCAGAAAATTTGCCCTTATCTACGTTTATGCATTGCCCAATATTTGAAGCAAACCTATCTGAAAATTTTACGGAGGATAGAAACTTTAAAAACTTTTTCCTTTTCTCCGGTTTTACTGAAAAAAAGATGCTAGGTCCTTTCTAGCTATCTCACCCTTCCTCGTCATCCGTAAACATGGCCTTATTCCCATTCGCTCCAAATCGATGCAAGCTTTGATTGTTTCTTTTGTTTTTCTCTCGATGTCTAATATAGTTCCAACCAATGTATCCCATGTTATTCTCAACATGCATAACATTGAGATTATGACGCAGTTTCAATTTTGACCAGTACGACAACTAAAACAACATACTTTTGTGTGTTTAGTTTAGATGGGTGTTTAGTGTGGTCTTATTTATCAATTTTCCAAAAGGACCAAAATCCAAACGATTCAAGGGCAATAAAATATTTTCTCCGGGCCATTCTCTGTGTCTTGGTTGAATCTCTGTTCCGTGGAAGAGTGTTGTCTCATTCTGATGCCACTCGTGGTCTCACAACAACCATCTACGTTGCCCTAGGTAACAAACTTTAACGGCGTGCCAAGAAGATGTTGTGTCCTCCTTGCAAACTGGGCATGCAAAATAACCCTTAAGACTCCACTTGAACATCATAACATACGTTGAAAAATCATTTATAGTCCACATCACTACTGCTCGCAAGGTGAACATCTGCCCAATTGATTTATTTTATATCAGAACACCGTTTTCCCACAAATCTTTCCGCTCATCGACCAACGGCCACAAATAAACATCAATAGACTTACCCGAACCCTCGGTTATCAACATAGTCATCATCATATATTCTTTCTTCATGCATTTCCAAGGTGGCAAATTGTACGAAATTGTAAAGATTGACCAAGTGTTGTGGTTATAATTTAATACCTAAAAGGAGAAGGACAAGTTAGTGCAAGCCATTGGCTGATAGTACAAAGTACGTTCTCTCTCTTTCTTTCACTAATTGATGCAAATCAAGAAAAAAGAAAAGGTCCAGAGAAAGAGATACAGAAAGACAAAGTGGTGAGGGACCCTTGATAAGAAACTTTGATAGTGGTATATCCACCGGCTTTCTATACAAAAACAATCAAAATATTTTGATTATTTTGATTAATTATCATGTTTTTTTATCAACATATTGCCTAGCAATGAGCGCGCGCGCACACACACACACATAATAGCCTTCATGCACACGCTCACGTGCGTGCATAAAATATTTTTTGAATCATAACGTGTTACGCGTGATTTACACGTTTTAAATGTATTTATATGCGTAAATTGACAAAAGGAAAGTCAAATATTTGAAGTAAATAAAAATCTTAGATCATGCAAAAAGAAACCCCTCATAAACCAATTAAAACATCTGAATCCACATAATAAAATCGGACTCTATAGAATTTACATTCAGAATAGAGAAAATAATATTTAATAAACAACTGATTGAATCACATTATTATTAGCCTATTGTGAGGCTAAGCCCAACCCCCTTCTCCTTAGTGTAGATAATATCGTTTGTTAAAAAAAATCATTTGACAACTAATTTAATCACATTATTATCCGCATGTGGAGTACTTTTTTTTTTTAACCGGCATTACACTCATCTTTAGATGTTTTGAATGTGTTTAAAAATAGAAAAAATAATTTGGAATGAACAGTTGATTGAATTACATTATTGCTATGCTATTGCGAGGTACTAATTAAAAAAAAGTACAAAAAAATAATTATTAAAAAAGTACTGTTAAAAAAACGAAAATACCCCTGCATTATTTGATGCATTATTTTAGGATGCCTTTGAATTTTTTTGTCTTGGGGACATTTTTGTCCAAATATTTTTGCTAAAGTTTGGTGACACCATAAAAGGCCACAAATAAACATCAATAGACTTTCCTGGATCCTCAGTTATCAACATAGTCTTCATAATATATTCTTTCTTCATACATTTCCAATGCGGCAAATTGTACGGAATTGTAAAGATTGATCAAGTGTTGTGGTTTTGATTTAATACCCAAAAGGAGAAGGACAAGTCAGTGCAAGCCATTAGCTGATAGTACAAAGTACGTTTTCTCTGTTTCCTTCACTGATTGATGCAAATCAAGAAAAAAGAAAAGGTCCACAGAGAGAGAGATGGAAAGACAAAGTGGCGAGGGACCCTTGATAAGAGACTTTGATAGTGGTATATCCACCGACTTTCCATACAAAAACAATCAAAATATTTTGATTAATTTGTGGTGAAATAAATGACTAATTATTATGTTTTTTAATCGACATATTGCCTAGCAATGAGCATAGACACACACACACATAATAGCCTTCATGCACACGCTCACGTGCGTGCATAAATATTTTTTAAATCATAGCGTGCTACGCGTGATTTACACGTTTTAAATGTATTTATATAAGTAAATTGACAAAAGGAAAGTCAAATATTTGAAGTAAATAAATAATCTTAGATCATGCTAAAAGAAACCCCTCATAAACCAATTAAAGCACCTGAATCCACATAATAAAATTGGCCTCTATAGAATTTACATTAAGAATAGAGAAACTAATATTTAATAAAAAACTGATTGAATCACATTATTATCCGCGTGCGAAATACCTTTTTTGTAATCGGCATTACACTCCTTTTAAGATGTTTTGAATGTCTTTAAAAATAGAGAAAATAATATGTAATGAACAACTGATTGAATCACATTATTGTTATCCTATTGTGAGGTGCTAATTAAAAAAAGTACAAAAAAATAATTATTAAAAAAGTACTGTTAAAATAATGAAAATACCCCTACAATATTTGAAGCATTATTTTGGGATGCCTTTGAAATTTTTTATCGTGGGGACATTTTTGTCCAAATATTTCTATTGAAGCTTGGTGACACCAAAAAGGCCCAAAAAAAAAAAATCAATAGACTTACCTGGATCCTCGATCATCAAAATATTCATCGTCATATATTCTTTCTTCATGCATTTCCAAGGTGGCAAATTGTACAGAATTGTAAGTATTGACTAAGTGTTATGGTTTTGATTTAATACCTAAACGGAGAAGGACAAGTCACTGTAAGCCATTGGCTGATAGTACAAAGTACGTTCTCTCTCTTTCCTTCACTGACAGATGCACATAAAGAAAAAATGAAAGGTCTAGAGAGAGAGACAGAAAGACAAAGTGGCGAGGGACCCTTGATAAGAGACTTTGATAGTGGCATATCCACCGGATTTCCATACAAAAACAATCGAATATTTTGATTAATTTGCGGTGAAATAAAATGACTAATTATTACGTTTTTTTAATTGACATATTGCCTAGCAATGAACATATATATGCATACTAGCCTTCATGCACATGCTCACGCACGTGCAGAAAATATGTTTTTGAATCATAGCGTGCTACGCGTGATTTACATATTTTGAATGTATTTATATGCTCCAATTGACAAAAGGAAAGTCAAATATTTGAAGTAAATGAATAATTTTAGATCATGCAAAAAGAAACCCCTCATAAACCAATTAAAGCAGCTGAATCTACATAATAAAATCGGTCTCTATAGAATTTACATTAAGAATAAAGAAAATAGTATTTAATAAAGAACTAATTGACTCACATTATTGTTACCCCATTGTGAGGTTAAGCCAACCCCCTTCCCCTTAGTGTTGATAATATTGTTTGTTAAAATAAAATCATTTGACAACTAATTTAATCACATTATTATCCGCGTACGAAATACCTTTTTTTATAACCGGCATTAGACTCCTCTTAAGATGTTTTTAACGTGTTTAAAAATAGGGAAAATAATATGGAATGAACAATTGATTGAAACATATTATTGCTATCCTATTTTGAAGTACTAATTAAAAAAAATTACAAAAATAATAATTAAAAATGTACTGTTAAAATAACGAAAATACCCCTACATTATTTGATGCATTATTTTGGGATGCCTTTGAAATGTTTTGTCTTGGGGACATTTTTGTCCAAATATTTTTGTTGAAACATGGTGACACCAAAAATGGCCACAAATAAACATCAATAGACTTACCCAAATCCCCGGTTATCAACATAGTCTTCATCATATATTCTTTTTTCATGCATTTCGAAGGTGGCAAATTTTACGGAATTGTAAAGATTGACCAAGTGTTGTGATTTTGATTTAATAGCCAAACGGAGAAAGACAAGTCAGTGCAAGCCATTGGCTGCTAGTACAATGTACTTTCTCTCTCTTTCCTTCACTAACTGATGCAAATAAAGAAAAAAGGAAAGGTCCAGAGAGAGATAGAAAGACAAAGTGGCGACAGACCCTTCATAAGAGACTTTGATAGGGGCATATCCACCGAATTTCCATACAAAAACAATCAAATTATTTTGATTAATTTGCGGTGAAATAAAATGACTAATTATTATGTTTTTTAATTGACATATTGCCTAGCAATGAGCTCACACACACACACACTAGCCTTCATGCATGCGCAAATATATACTAGCCTTCATGCACACGCGTAAAATGACTAATTATTATGTTTTTAATCGACATATTGCCTAGCAATGAGCGTGCGCATGCGCACACACACACTAGCCTTCATGCATGCGCGTATATATACTAGCCTTCATGCACACGCTCACGCGCATGCAGAAAATATTTTTTGATCACAACGTGCTAATAGCAATAAGTCCTGTTTGAAGAGGCTCGTATACAGAACATCTCGAAATAATACCAGGAGCGGGAGACTCAATTAATCAAGATTCAGAAGATGAAATTTCACCCCGACCATCAATAGGTGTGATTTACATGTTTTAAATGTATTTATATGCGTAAATTGGCAAAAGGAAAGGCAAATATTTGAAGTAAATGAATAATCTTAGATCATGCTAAAAGAAAATCCTCATAAACCAATTAAAGCAGCTGAATCCACATAATAAAATCGGCCTCTATCGAATTTACAATAAGAATAGAGAAAATAATATTTAATAAACAACTGATTGAATCACATTATTGCTAGCCCATTGTGAGGCTAAGCTCAACCCCTTCCCCTTAGTGTAGATAATAACGTTTGTTAAAAAAAAAAAATCATTTGACAACTAATTTAATCACATTTTTATCCGCATGCGAAATACCTTTTTTTTTTTTAACCGGCATTACACTCATCTTTAGATGTTTTGAACGTGTTTAAAAATAGAGAAAATAATATGGAATGAACAGCTGATTGAATTGCATTATTGCTATGCTATTGTGAGATACTAATTAAAAAAAAGTACAAAAAAATAATTATTAAGAAAGTACTGTTGAAAAAACCGAAAATAACCCTACATTATTTGATGCATTATTTTGGGATGCTTTTAAATTTTTTTGTCTTGGGGACATTTTTGTCCAAATATTTTTGCTGAAGTTTGGTGACACCATAAAAGGCCACAAATAAACATTAATAGACTTACCTGGATCCTCGGTTATCAACATAGTCTTCATCATGTATTCTTTCTTCATGCATTTCCAATGTGGCAAATTGTATGGAATTGTAAAGATTGACCAAGTGTTGTGGTTTTGATTTAATACCCAAACGGAGAAGGACAAGTTAGTGTAAGCCATTGGCTGATAGTACAAAGTACGTTCTCTCTATTTCCTTCACTAACTGATGCAAATAAAGAAAAAAGGAAAGGTCCAGAGAGAGAGACAGTAAGACAAAGTGGCGAGGGACCCTTGATAAGTGACTTTGATAGTGGCATATCCACCGTATTTCCATACAAAAAGAATCAAAATATTTTGATTAATTTGCTGTGAAATAAAATGACTAATTATTATGTCTTTTTAATCGACATATTGTGTGACAGCCCGTCCCAAAATATTACAACGTACGTGTGAAAAGACAAGATTGCCCTTAGTTCGTTTTCTTTACGTTTTGTGGTTATTTTTGGTTGGTTGTTGGCTAATGGTGGACCATACACTTCCCTCACTGTTTTCTCCCTTTCCCTGCATCTGTCTCGAGCCCTATTCCCTTCCCATTTCCTTTGAAACGTAAGGACACACCCACACACCCATCGAACCTTCACAGATCGTGGAATCCAAGCACATTTTCAGACTCGTGAGGCTTGTAGGAGTCCAACCATGCCCATTTCAGGTAAGAACACCTTCGTTTTCACGTCGATTATACGATGTCCGATTTGAGGTACTGTTCATGCACACGTGATTTCTCACGTTTTAGGGAATTTCAAGCTTGTAGGTAGCTTGGTGAGGTCCCTAGGAGGCTCGGGGTGGTTCGTTTGATGATTTTGGACGTCGGGATCACTAGTTTCGAAGTTGGCCGGAGTTGGGTTGATTTTTCAGGTGAGATTTTGTGGATTTTAGCCCTTGAAAGTGGTATGATTGTGTTCCTCTAGTTCTAAGCTTCATTTTGGTTCCAATTTTGTGAAATTTGGATGAAAAACGAAGAAGATATCAACGTTTAAAAATTTCCTGATTTTCCGGCACCGGAGGCTCGCTGGAGAAGACGACGGAATATTCCGTCAAGTCTGATGGAATATTCTTGACGTCGTTGACAGAAACCGTTAGGGATAACGGAATATTCCCTCACGGCGTCAGTTGATGCCGTCAACGTGCCAGGCACGTGCCTGCGCGTGGTCGGCGCATGGGGGTGCGTGCAGCGGTGAAAAATTATTTTAAAATTATGGGGATGTTCCTGAGGTTGAGTAGATCATGTTGGTGTATTCATACACCCCATTTGAGCATTGTATGAGAAGTTATTTCTAAAGTTTGGTTATGTGCTTTAAAATTAACGTTTTTATAGTTGTTTCGCATATAGGTGAGACGTACCCCGAGGACGAGCGTGGTCACTCGAGGCAGAGGGGTTACGACCCTTCCACTTACCAGTGAGTGGGCTTTTGGTTTTCCGTAAATACCTATATACTTATATTTTTCCCAGTAATTGATTGAATTGTCATTTGCCACATGCCATGCATTAGATTATCGTTATTTATGCATTGTTAGTTACATTATTAGTTGTATATATATACACATATGCATGTTGGGTGCTGCGGACGCACAGTTAAGTGCCAGGTAAGTGTTATTCATGTTTACTTTCGGTAGCGACTCGAGATGGTTAGAGAGCTCATAACCTGCATCCCGGTGTTAGTGCTCCCTCCCAGAGTAGGGCACAGTCCTTCACGTGATGTTCACCTCCCGCACCACACGCTCAGCTTGGATCCAAGTTAGGTGCACAGTCCTGTCGTACAGACCACATTAGGTGGTTCCGACTCGTAGGTGACCCGCCATTATTCGCACAGCCTTCACGTGATCGTAGCACTAGAGCGTTTATATGTATTACATCCAGGCCTGTCGTACAGACCACTTTAGGTGGTTCCGACTCGTGGGCAGGTTTAGTTAGTTATTGAGATTTGAGCTCTAGATTTAGCCGTACAGGTCACGTTAGGTGACTCCGGCTGCCAGACTATATGATATTGAGATGATTTTTACCTGAGCACTTGCATTTCATTGTGAGATTTGGCATGGCATATCCTGATGCATGATTGGTATATATATATATATATATATATATATATATATATATATATATATATATATATTTATATGTACATATGTTTATTTTTGGGAAGTATACAGGTTTTACGGCGATGAGTTAGAACTTATTTGTTAAATGGTTTTCGAAAAGCTTTGTTTTTGCCCACTCATGCTTTTGTTTTGCGCCCCTCCAGGTTCTAGCTATCTAGCAGGTTTGGTGGTTTCCCAGAGAGCTTTGCCGGCATTTCTGACAGACGATCACCAGTGTAGGGCCACCTTCGGGTGTACTGTTGTCGCGTCATTTTAGTTTGGACTGCTTTAGGCGTTATGCTCTGAACTTGTGTCTCACTTACGCTAGCACTTATTACTATTACCTTATGTATACTAGTTTTATTTATTTGTACTTCTTCTATTATTGTTTTATTAGCTTCCACATTGTGCACATGGTTACGTCACCTCCGCGTGATGGCCAGCACGCCCTGATCTCGGTTGG